GATTTGTATATCTTTTGTGAGTTGTCTCTTTATGTCTTTAGCATATTGTTTTGATGGGATTGCTTTCTCTTGCTTATTTGGGTTATTTGTATATTCTGGATATTAAACCTTTGTTGGATGTGTAGATTGTGGAGATTTTCTCCCACTCTGTGGATTGTTTACTCTGCTGATTGTTTCTTCTGCTGTGTAGAAACTTTTTAGTTTAAGTTCCACATATTTATCATTGTTTTGTTGCATTTGCTTTTGGGTTCTTGGTCATGAAATCTTACCTAAGCCAATGTCTAGAAGGGTTTTTCCTGTGTTATCTTCCAGAGTTTTTATGGTTTCAGGTCTTCATCTTGAGTTGATTTTTATATAAGGTGAGAGATAAGGATCCAGTTTCATTCTTCTACATGCGACTTGCCAATTATTTCAGCACCATTTGTTGAATGGGGTGTCCTTTCCCCCTTTATGTTTTTGTTTGTTTTGTCGAAGATCAGTTGGCTGTAAGTATTTGGGTTTATTTCTGGGTTCTCTATTCTGTTCTATTGGTCTATGTGCCTATTTTTATACCAGTACCATGCTGTTTTGGTGACTATGGCCTTATAGTATAAAGTCATAATGTGATGCCTCCAGATGTATTCTTTTTGCTTGGTCTTTCTTTGGCTATACGGGCTCTCTTTTTTTGGTTCCATATGAATTTTCAGATTGTCTTTTCTAGTTCTGCGAGGAATGATGGTGGGGTGGTTGTTGGTGGTGGTGGTGGCCTTTTTTTTTTTTTTTAAGATGGAATCTCACTTTGTTGCCCAGGCTGGAGTGCAGTAGCATAGTCTCAGCTCACTGCAACCTCCACCTCCTGGGTTCAAGCAATTTTCCTGGCTTAGCCTACATAGTAGCTGCGATTACAGGTGTGTGCCACCATGCCCAGCTAATTTTTGCATTTTTAGTAGAGATGGGGTTTTGCCATGTTGGGCAGACTGGTCTCGAACTCCTGACCTCAGGTGATCCATCCACCTTGGCCACCCAAAGTGCTGTGATTACAGGCGTGAGCCACTGCGCCTGTTCCTGGTGGTAGTAGTTTGACAGGAATTGCACTGAATTTGTAGACTGCATTTGGCAGTATGGTCATTTTCAAAATATTGAGTCTACCCATCCATGAGCATGGGATGTGTTTCCATTTGTTTTTGTCATCTATGATTTCTTTCAGCAGTGATGCACGCATGCAGGTTCTTCTGCTCCAGATGAGGTCATCTGCATGCAGCACAGGGCTTTAAAATAGAAATTAGAGCCAGTTAGAAGACTTACTTCAGTAGTTTAGAGATGAGGTGATCAGAATGGAGACTGTAGGGTAATAGGTACAAGTAAACACTTGGAGGCTATCAGGTGGGAAGAGTGATAGCTTTTCTACTTGGGTGACTGAGTTGATGGTGATTTCTTTAGCAGGAAAAAGAATGCAGAGGCAACATGGGGAAACCCTGTCTCTACCAAAAATATAAAAATTAGCCAGTCTCATAACCCAATCTCAAAAAAAAATTTTAATAAAAATATTTTTTAAATGCTATATTGTATTAATTTTGCTTCCTTCCCTAAGAAGGACATAATATATCTTTTGTTTGTTTATTTTTTGAGGCAGGATCTCACTCCGTCACCTAGGCTGGCATGATAGTGGCTTATTACAGCTTCAACCTCCCCAGGCTTAGTTGATCTTAGCCTCCAAGTAGCTGGGACCACAGGTGTGTACCACTGCCCCCAGCTTATTTTTACGGTTTTGGTAGAGACAAGGTTTCAAAAACACAAATAAGTAAATTAATTAATTTAATTAAATTAAATAATGGCCCGGCACAGTGGCTCACGCCTGTAATCCCAGCACTTTGGGAGGCTGAGGTGGGCAGATCACCTGAGATCAAGAGTTCGAGACCAGCCTAGCTAACATGATGACGCCAAGTGTGGTGGTGCATGCCTGTAATCCCAGCTACTTGGGAGACTGAGGCAGGAGAATCACTTGAACCCAGGAGGCAGAGGTTGCAGTGAGCCGAGATCATGCCATTGCACTCCAGCTTGGGCAATAAGAGTGAACTCTGATTCAAAGAAAAAAAAATTAAATAAAAAGAGAATGCAGTTTTAGATATAAGGTAGCAGAAGAACATCAAGTGGTAATATTCATTGGTACATTAGTTTTAATTCCTCTGCAAAGCAGATGGGATTTTGATGAGCAAGGGATTTACTTGGAGAAATGCCTGTGAGAGAAAAAGGGGTGATGCCATAAAATTGGAGACAGCCATCAGACTGCAGTGCTGATGTAGATGTGACCCTGTGCTGGGGGTCCCCAAAATCACCTTCAGGTTCAGAAATCCCCTAGGAGGATGCACAGAACTCAGCATGTAATTTTCATGGCTATAATTTATCATAACAGGAGGCAAAAGGTACATGGAGTAAATTCTGGGGAAACCAGGCACAAACTTTTAAGAAACTTTTCCCAGTGGAGTCTCATAGAATGCACTTAATTCTTCCAGCAACAAGTTGTGACAGCTTGTGTGAAATGTCTACCAGGCAAGCCCATTAGAAACTCAGTGCCTTGGGTTTTACTGGGGGGATACTGCCTGGCACATATTAAGATTCCAGACTCCCAAAAGGAAAGCAGATACTCAAAATAAACCACATTGTTTGTATTTGTGACTTGTCTTCTGTTTAGGAGGGTGTCTTCTTCATACACTGGGTGATGCATCTGTCCCAACTCCCCATCTTTTACACTTGATCTTAGCCAAAAGGCCAGGAAGCGACACCCCATCTCTTAAAAAAGAATTTTTTTTTAATTTTCTTTTTTGGAGATGGAGGGATGCTACTTTGCCCAAGCTGGGCTTGAACTCACAATTGTCCCACTTCAGCCTCCCAAGTAACTGGGACTACAGGTGCATGCCAGTGCACCTGGCCGCAAATTCCCATTTTGCACCACCAATTTTCTCAGACCACTCCTAGTACATGTGTGTTAGTTCAGATCCTCCAGGAAGCTAATCCCACCTTAGTTTCTGCTTTACTGGGGGAAATGCTTGTAAGAGAATAGGGGAGTGCGGGGAAGAAGTAAGGAAAAGCATCAGACTACGATGGAGCTCTGAGCCCTCCCTGTAAAGGAGAGAAGGAAAGAGGGTAGGGGAGACAGAGCCTCAGTACACTGTGTAGTTGTAAGAATGTGTCAGCCAGGTCAATGGTAAGTAGTAAGGAAAACATCAGACTACGATGCAGCTCTGAGCCCTCCCTGTAAAGGAGGGGGAAGAAAAGAGGGTAGAGGAGACAGAGTCTCAGTACGCTGTGTAGTTGTAAGAATGTTTCAGCCAGGTCAATGGTAAGTAGTAAGGAAAAGCATCAGACTATGATGCAGCTCTGAGCCTTCCCTGTAAAGGAGGGGGAAGGAAAGAGGGTAGAGGAGACAGAGGCTCAGTACACTGTGTAGTTGTAAGAATGTTTCAGCCAGGTCAATGGTAGGACCTCAGGCCAAAGTCACCCACACAGTCACCTGTGTCTTGCAGGAATGGGCCTTTCACAATATCCCTGCCATGCTGAGTCCCTTAATTTGGGCCATACTATAGGAAGTGTGGCATGAGCCTAAGCATAGGAGTAGATCCAGAAGGGCAGCTGTTGGAAGTCACCTCTGTGTCAGAAGTTTTTTGGTTTTTTGAGACAGTCTTCCTCTGTTACCCAGGCTTGAATGCAGTGGCGTGATCACTGCTCATGGCAGCTTCAACCTCCCAGGCTCAAGCGATCCTCCCACCCACCTCAGCCTCCTGAGTAGCTGAGACTACAGGCATATGCCATTACACCTGGCTAATTTTTGTGTTTTTTGTAAAGATGGTGTCTCATCATCTTACCCCGGCTGGTCTTGAATGCCTGGGTTAAAGCAGTCCACCTGCCTTGGCCTCCCAAAGTTCTGGGATTACAGTCGTGAGCCACTGAGCCAGCCCTATATTAGAAGTTTTGAAAGTTATAGAGATAGTGCAGGGAATAAATTATATTAATAGATGAAGAAGTCAAAAAGGATTTACATGATGTGATTATTATGCATTGCATACTTGTATCAAAATATCTCATGTACCCTGTAAATATGTACCCACAAAAATTTAAATGTTTTTTTAAAAAGCCAAAAAGAAAACCTTTAAGACATTAATTTTAAAACAGTGAGCAGAGAAGAAAGGAGCCAATGCAGGAGGCTACATAGTGTTTTGAGAGTTAGGAAAAGACCCAGGGAAGATAGAGTTTAAAGAAGAAGGGAAAAGAGTTTAAAGCAAATGTTATAAAGAAATTGTAAGTGAGCTTTCTGAGTCCATTTTTAGTGGATTTCAGGTAACAAATTGGAGTGAGTTGACTAGAGATTATAAGTATATACTACTTTTTTTTTTTCAAGTTTCAGTTATTTATTAATCAGTGTAATCACCAATAGATTACATTAACATGATTTCATGCATTTAGAGAAGAAATATTTCCTGGTTCAGTGGAAAATTGTGTGGATGGCTTCTGGAAGACCTTCATTTTAAAGCAGCTTTACATTTCATTTAGAAATCTGGATGTTCTTTCTTCAGTTTGCTATAATCCACATTCACTGAGTAGAACTTGTATTGATCATTGGGACCCAGTTTGTTCCAGGGCTCTGGGTTATTCTTTTTGTCCCAGCAAACACCTGGATTGAACAGTGTCAAACGCAAGAGATACAGGGCTGCTCCACCACCTCCAGCTCCAATAAATACAAAGAGGGGGATCAAGCTCGGATGCTTCTTGGCCTGACCTAAGATGTGGCGGAGGATGTTTGCGGTAGAGACCTTCAATTGGAAAGAAGAAAATGAGCCCAGCCACCAGGCCCTGGGCTAAGTAGTATCTGCACTGACACTGTGCGGACTTCCAAAGTTACCTCGTATATACTACTTTCCAAGACAGGGAAAAATCTTTCCAGATAAATAGTGTGTAGTCATGATATATCTTATCTGCATAACAAGTTTAAAAGCAAATGATGTCTTGCTTGTTAAATTTCTCAGAATTCAGCATTCTTCTGGCAGACATCTGCAAAGAGCTGACAAGGAAAGAAGAAAGATTCGAGCCTGGATGAAAAGAAAACGAAAAGAAAGAATGGCGAAGTACTTAAATGAGCTGGCAGAAAAGAGAGGGCAAGAACATGATCCTTTCTGTCCCAGAAGTAATCCAGTAAGTCTGCAGTGTCAGGGGTAATGTAATGGAATTATAGAATATGTGTAATTACTTTCCTGTCAAATTTTCAAGAAAAGGATTAACATAATTTGGATACATTTTTAATTTGGCATATAGAAAAGACAACGTTTTACTTAAGTCAGGAAAAGCTAAGGAATTACCTTAAAATGTTGCAGGATATTGTGCTAACTAAGTTATACTGAATTATCTTAAATATTTTTTTGTCCCCCAGGCTAATTAATGATGGCTGTAGCATTTTAACAAAAGGAGGCGGTCGAGTGATTGGGTGACCAACTGGAGTTGTTCCTTTCCTTTTTTTTTTTTTTTGAGACAGAGTCTTCCTCTGTTGCCTAGGCTGGAGTGCAGTGGCACAATCTAGGCTCACTGCAACCTCCGCCTCCCAGGTTTAAGCGATTCTCCTGCCTCAGCCACCCAAGTAGCTGGGACTACAGGCGCATGCCACAACACCTGGCTAATTTTTTTTATTTTTAGTAGAGACAGGGTTTCACTGTGTTAGCCAGGATGCTCTTGATCTCCTGACCTCGTGATCCACCCGCCTCAGCCTCCCAAAGTACTGGAATTACAAGTGTGAGCCACTGCATCTGGCCGTTCCTTTAATTTTCAATAAGAGTCAATGGCAGTTGAAACAATGGACTATGTGTATTAAAGCCATTTTAAAAACTCATTTTTAAAATTAAAAACATTTTCTAGGCCTGCTCTCTTGCTTAGTTTATGACATTTATTTGCTTAAAAAACTTTGAGGCTGGGTATGGTGGCTCAGGCTTATAGTCCCAGCACTTTTGGAGACCAAAGTGAGAGGATGACTTGAGACCAAGAGTTGAGAACATCTTGGGGAACATAGTGAGACCTCATCCCTACAACAACCACAAAAAATTAGCCAGGTGTGATGGCACACACCTATAGTCACAGAACTCAAGAGGCTGAGGCAGGAGGATCATTTCAGTCCAGAAGTTTGAGGCTGTATTGAGTGGTGATCTCACCACTGCACTCCAGCCTGGGCGACAAAGCCAGCCTCTGTGTCTACAAATAAAGCAGAAGCTAACAAATAAAAGAAAACTTCAATTTTCTGTCCATAAGTTACCTACAAAGAATAAAAATATATATATATATATATATATATAGTCCAATTAGGTACCAAGAGAACAATGTCACTTCTGTGTGTGTGTGTGTGTTTTTTTTTTTTTTCCCATTTATTTATTTTATTGCATTTTAGGTTTTGGGGTACATGTGAAGAATATGCAAAATTGTTGCATAGGAACACACGTGGCAGTTGTTTTTTAACTGTCTTTAAAACTGTCAGCATTTATTTACTGAGCCCTAAGTATGGACATCACGATCGCTAGGTCAGGTATATTTTTCTTCAGATGGTAAAACAAAGCAGTGTTACTTTGATAGTCAACATTACTATGAAAATTACATTTAGATTACAGTTTATCTTTTAATCTGAAATAAAATACAATATCCCTTCATTTTTTCAGCATTATTAGGAAAACAAATTCTTTAGGTGAATTTTCCAGATTAACTGTCCCATTAAAACACCAAATGGTGCAAAAGTAGGTAAACTATTGTTTAAAGTGTACAATGTACTTACCTGTCTCTGAAAAGAGCATATTGGTGTTAACATAATATTTTCTTGATAGCCCAGGAGACATGGTAGTGACCTCTAGGGCTACTGAGGTACGTGACCAGAATCTTAAAGTGCGTGCATGTGTATTTTGAGTATGTGTGTATGTGTGTGTGTTCCCCCTCCCTATGCAGAATGGGTTCTGACGTCACCTTTTCTGTCAGTGAAGTAAATACCCAAGATGGTTAGAATTGTGTCCAAATTTAGAATATATTGGCCAGGAATGGTGGCTCATGTCTGTAATCCCAGCACTTTGGGAGGCCGAGATAGGAGGATCACCTGAGGACCAGGAATTCAACATCAGCCTAGGCAACATAGTTGAGACCTCATCTCTACAAAAAAAGAAGAAAATGAAAATTAGCTAGGCATGGTGGGCCATGCCTATAGTACTAACTACTCAAAGTGAGAAAATCAGTTGTGCCCAGGAGTTTGAGGTTATAGTGAGCTGTGATCATGCCACTGCATTCCAGCCTGGATAACAGAGTGAGCTCTTGAACTAAATGAACAAGCTCTAAGGATATAAGAACTGCTTGGTTCATAGATTTTGTGGTCTCATTCAAGATTGCAAACAGTTGTTGTTTTGTTTTTTAACTTCTATTTTAGTAAAGGGATGGGATTAGTGAGGTGTTAATGTAATTAAAATTTTCATTTGAATTTCTATTAGAAATCAGCAAGACCCTTAATTTGTTAGTGACTACTTCTCTACAGGACCTCGAAAAGTGAATTTACTTCTGAGTATCTATTTTTATATACATAATTGTGTGTGAAAAGAACCTCACATGTAACTCGTACCAATAGTTCTTAATGTTCTGGAATAATACGTATGTGTCTGACATTAGTTGTTTGCTTTCTGGTGTATAACTTGAAGAGTTTACAAGTCACAGTCAATGCACTGTAGTAGGTTTCTGATAAACATTTTAAAACATAAAAATGATTATTTAAAATGTCTAATTTCTGCTTTATTAACAAGCTCTTTGTGAGATTAATCAAAAGATTGAGTACAAAGCATAGATGCTTCCACCTAAAATGTTCCTACTTTCCATTTTTAGAGCAGCCAATAAGGTCCTCTCCTTATTCAGTAAAATATATTAATTGAACTAGTAAAATAGATTTTGCATTCCATTTATTAAATTGGTTTTTAATTACATGATGTTTTAATTTAACATTTTTATGTTTTGTGCTAGAGTAGGACGCTTCATCAAATACAACAGTGTTTTATACTGTTTTCTAAATAACAGAATTTTGTCTAATGGTTTAATTATTTGGATTGAACAATAATAAACCAACTGGATATTTCTTACGCAGCTTTACATGACTTCAAGGGAAATCAGGTTGAGTCAAAAGATGAAGCATGAAAAAGACAGGTGAGTTTGGTAGCGATAACCCGGTGCGCTCTCTCTAACTTCCTTACCTGAGTCATAGATTAATGCCTTAGGAATTCTGTTTTCACAATAGTCTCTTTTTTGTCAATAAATAGAAAATTATGGGAGATATCACTGCAAGGAAAATGATGAGACTCACCAGCCTTTTTACAAATTTGCTTTCAAATATTATGTGTTTCATTCAGTTTTTATGGCTTTATTTCTGCTGTTCTCCCTTTCCCAACCCAGATATGTACATCCATTTGGGAAATGCTCCAGAGACTATAACTCCAAGTACCTTTAATAATACTGCCTTATCATTTTCAGAAGTCTGATGAATAGAAGGATGTGAGAAGCATTGAAGAAAGAAAATGCTAGGTGAAATTAGCTGGGCGTGGTGGTGGGCGCCTGTAATCCCAGCTACTTGGGAGGCTGAGGCAGGAGAATTGCTTGAACCTGGGAGGTGGAGGTTGCAGTGAGCCAAGATTGCACCATTGTACTCCAGCCTGGGTGACAAGAGTGAAACTCTGTCTTTAAAAAAAAAAAAAACAAGAAAGAAAATGCCAGGTGTTCTTCAAACACTGTATTCCCTCTGGGTAGATGAACTGAAAGTGACTCTTAGTAAATGATGTTTAATTTATCTACAGATTGCTGCTCTCTCAACACTACACTCGTCGAATCTCACAAGCATACAGTCTGATGAATGAACTGTTATCTGAGTCAGTACAGCTACCAACAACTGCATGGAAACCATTGCCTAACAAATCCAGCCCTGCTCAGTTTTCCAGATATCAACACTGCCCTTCTCCAAGAGGGTAAGACAAGGTTTGACATGCCATTTGGCAAGATAATGTAAGGCTTGATAAGAAGAAATGTAGCACTTTTGTGACCTAAGTTCAGTGCATTTGCATTTACCCTGCCTAGAGTTGTGATGGTAAAGTGAAGGAAAAAAGTAACCTCATAATTATGAGGTCTTTATGCATTGATAGAATCACCAAGGAAAAAGGCAAAAATTGTGTTACATTTCTCACTAAGCTTACAGAGCATTTAGGTATACCAGAAGTATGAAATTTGATATCTGTGCAGTCCAGTTTTCTTTTACTTAGTTGTTGTTAATAATTACCTCGGTAATTCGTCTCCTGACTGCTCCCCCTATTTTCCCACTTGTCATCTTCTCTCTTGCAGAAACAGCCAGGTCCCCAGCTGCTTACCACTTCCCTTTCTGCTACCTGCCCCTGACCTGCCCATTTATGCTCATTCAACTGTAGTTACTATTATGTATTTTACTTTAATCACCTGCAGAGGGCTTAGATATGAGTTAATTAGGCAGGAATTAATTATATACATAGAATGCTGAAGAAAACTACTCAAGTATAAAATTTCTTATATATGGCCAACAAACATGCAAAGTTCTATTAATATTTGTTGGTGATCATAAGGTGAACATGAATTGGAGTACAGTATTGTTAAGAATCACCACCTTTGACAAAATAAATTATTAGAATTGTAAACATAATCACATAATTTAAGAGCCTAGAGGATATACTAGCAACACAAACCCAGATGTAATTAGATCATTTGTGTGTGTAATGTGGAGTTTACTTCAAATGCCAAAGATTCCTGTTGAGACTTTTCTAGAATAAAGCAGGGATGAAATACATATATAACTGTCCAATATATGGAGAATTTGAAATGGAGAGTGAGATAACCACAAAAATTTTTTGTGAAAAAAATGAGGTTTGAGGTACGAGATGCAAAGAATAATTTGTTGAGAGTTACTATATGTTAAGTACATTACTGAGGTACAGAATAGGCAGTATCAAGTGAATGTGTTAATTTGAGCTATATTTTTTGGGCTTTTTTTTTCCTTAAAGAGACAGGATCTTGCTCTGTCACCCAGGCTGGAGTGCAGTAGCATTCACCAGAGCAATCATGGCACACCACAGCCTCCACTCTCTGGGTTCCAGCGATCCTCCTGTCCCGCTGTCCCCAGTAGCTGGGGCTATAGGCCTGCCCCACTGCATCCTGCTTAATGTGGGCTTTTTGAAATATTAAAGTTTATCATGATATGAGATTCTAGGAATATAATAATTATGTGATTTCTACTTCAGAGAGAATCAGCATGGTCACAGTTTTCTGAAAAATCGACCTGGAAAAGTCAAATATACATTTAAACCTAGTTGTATCCATAAGAAGTCTTTTGGGCAACCTCAAGACTCATCTTTGCCATGTGGTAAGACTTAAACCTTTTTTATAAATTGTGTGATTTGGACCTATTCCTTCTTGTCTCCAAAGCTCTGTTTTCATTAGTAAAAGGTATAAATCTGAATAAAAAGGAGTTCTGATTTGAACAGAATGCAAGGCATTGATAAAGACTGAGCTGTAATTTATTTTTCTACTTTGAAGTAAGGCTCTAGGAATTTTTATAAATGAATGGCTTTTTTAATAATTGCATTTGAACATTCAGGGTATTAGATTATAACTTTTTTCAGGAGTCTGTTTCTTTTGTACATCTGGCCAAAGATGTAGGCATTTGAACAAATCAGGTTCTGATAGATTGCAGGATGAATACATCACAGACTAAGAAGCTCAGATTGAAATAATATTATGTTTTTATCCTTTGGACATTCTTTTCCACATTTGAAGATATATCCATTATTTACCAACCTTTCTTTAGTTAATTGTGCCATATTTCGGTTTTGATTACTCAAGTAAAGCAGTTATTTATAATGTGTTTACATATTACCAATGTATTATAATAGTTGACATGTAGTATAAATATATACATTTAAAAATGTAAAATAGGCCTGGCACAGTGGCTTATGCCTGTAATCCCAACACTTTGGAGGCCGAGGCAGGCGGATCATGAGGTCAAGAGATCTAGACCATCCTGGCCAACATGGTGAAACCCTGTCTCTACTAAAAATACAAAAATTAACTGGGCCTGGTGGCACGTGCCTGTAATCCCAGCTACTCAGGAGGCTGAGGCAGGAGAATCACTTGAACTCAGGAGGCGGATTGCAGTGAGCCAAGATCGTACCACTGCACTCCAGCCTGGTGACAGAGCGAGACTCCATCTCAAAAAAAAAAAAAAAAAAAAAAATTAAAATAACAACTAGTTTATGAGGCAGGTTCTGTTTAAGTTCTTTAATTACAACCCTGTGAGATAGGTGCTATTATGTTTCCACTTTAAAGACAAGGAAACCAAGGCAGAGAAAGCTTAAATAATTGCCCAAGATCATATAGCTAGAAAGTGGTAGAGCCAAGATTTAACCCTAGGATGGGTCTAGAGCCTACGCATAGAACCAACACTTCATTTTGCTGCCTCAATTTAGAAAATTGAAATTTCCATGAATCCCAATTCTTTAGATGAAACTCTTTATGGTTTGGTTAGCCCTTGGCTTTTTTTTTTTTTGAGACAGAGCCTATTGCTCAGTCTGAAGTGCAGTGTCGTGATCTTGACTCACTGCAGCCTTTGCCTCCTAGGCTCAAGAGCCATCTCCCTTCTCAACCTCCTGTGTAGCTGGGATTATAGGTGTATGTCACCATGCCCATCTAATTTTTGCTTGTTTGTTTTTTTGTAGAGATGGGGGTCTTGCTGTGTTGCCCAGGCTGGTCTTGAACTCCTGAGCTCAAGCATCTACCCACCTCAGCCTCCCACACGTGCTGAAATTACACATGTGAGGTATCATGCCCGGCCAGATTTCACATGTGCTGAGATTACACGTGTGAGGTATCATGCCTGGCCAGATCTTTGCTTTTTTGATTGACAAATTACAATAAGAAAATACTGCTTTTTTAAAACTAAAATTTCAAAATAGTGAACTATGCTTTTAAAAAAAAAAAATCTTATTTTATACCTGATATGTTTGCCACTATTAGATGCATATCTAAAATTGCCAAGGTTTTAAATACCTGAGCCATGGTTTCTTAACATCTGATGAAAGTCTTGAATTATATGGAAATATGTCTTTCTGTTACATGTGTTCCATTTCAAGTCTTTATTTTTACCTTGTGCTTTGACGGCTGCTGTGGCCTTAGCCTGTCCTTCCGTTAGTCTCACCTGCCCTTGCTGGATTATGCTTGAGGAGGTGCTTCTGCTACTCCTGAAGCCCTCAGCAACACTCATACCCACGCAGAAACATCTAGACCCTCTGCTTTGCCTTCAAGTCATCCTCTGTGTGTTCTCCTGCCTCCTTGAACTCCCTTCCCCATAGAAACCGTGCTGCTCAGCAGCTTGTTTTCCAACCACATGCCATACTTTTGTGCCCCCTTATACCTTGAAAGCCTCACTTTTGTGTGTTTGAAGACATTCCTAATCTTAATTCTTTAGTTCGTTGAATCTGATATGATCAATTCAAAATTCTACATTCTCATTTCTAAATTGAGGGTAATATTTAACCTGCATGGTTGCTATGAAAATTAGAAATACTGGTGGCTAAAGTAGTTATTTTTCTGTTCTTTGAGCCCTTACTCACATGTATATGTCCCTCTTGAAGAACTACAACGGGCATCTTGTTCAGGTTACTTAGAAACTTCATGCCCCATACTAGATTAAATGTTTTGCAGCAGTATTCTCGTACTCATCTTTGTATTATCCCTCACATTGAACAAATGAAATACTCAAACATTGAACAAATGGATAAATGGAAAAAAAGGTGATTGAGCTTTTTGTCTAAGCATAGCTATTTATAAACAAATTATGGTTCGAGGATATTAATAAGCAGGTATTATAGTATTTATACTATGTCAGAGAATAATACCATATATCTGGTTATTGTCCTAGCTAACCTGTCACTTAGTTTCCCCAGACTTATAAGGCAAAGATAAAAGAGACAGCTTGAGTGCTTGTGGATATTCTGACTTCTCTGCCTCAGTAGAGCAGGCTGTGGCTCCCCTTGTTTTTGTGGCCTCTGTCACACCCAGACGCAACCATTTCACCTGGCTACATTCAAAAGTTTCAGGTCCCCCAGTATTTGGGAGAACGGAGGGAAACCCAGGCAAGAATGATTCCAGGCCTTTTCCTAGTCACTGGTACAGATAACCTAAACTCACATAAGCGAAGTTCAGTCACTGCACATGTGGGAAGGTGAGGATCAATCAATATTTAAAATTCACTGCAATTCATTTGTAAATGAAGAGTTTTTCTGAATATACTTGGGAGTTTGACTGTATGTTACTTTCTGTCTTGTAAAGCAGTATGTAGTTTTTGGCTAATTTCTTCAGCCCTGCTTCCATACTGTTAGGAGCTATTTCTTTTTTTGTTTGTTTGTTTTTGACACAGGAACTCATTCTGTTGCCCAGATGGGAGGGCAGTGATGTGATCATGGCTCACTGCAACCTTGACCTCCCTGGCTTAGGTGAGCCTCCCACTTCAGCCTTTTTTTTTTTTTTTTTTTTTTTTTTGAGACAGCGTCTAGCTCTGTCACACGACTGGAGTGCAGTGGCACAGTGTCAGCTCACTGCAACCTCTACCCCCTGGGTTCAAGTGATTCTCCTGCCTCAGCCTCGGGAGTAACTGGCAGTACAGGCTGGCACCACTACGCCCAAATAACTTTTATATTTTTTAATAGAGACAGGGTTTCACCATGTTGGCCAGGCTGGTCACAAACTCCTGGCCTCAAGTCATCTGCCAGCTTTGGCCTCCCAAAGTGTTGGGATTATAGGCATGAGCCACCGTGCTTGATGGCGTAAGCCACCTCAGCCTCTTGAATAGCTGGGACTACAGGTGTGCACCAGCACACCCGGGTTATTTTTAAATTTTTCGTAGGGACAGAGTCTTGCCATGTTGCCCATGCTGTTCTCAAACTCCTGGGCTCAAGCTGTCTTCCCACTTAGCCTCCCAAAGTGCTCTAATTATAGGCATGAGCCTCCACAGCTAGGCAGGGATATTTTTTGTAATTGTTGCTTGTTTTGTGTTTAGTTCTATCAAATACAATACAAAGATTATATAATTAGTAACTGAGAGGCATCTTAGGCATAAAGAAATAGATGTCTAGGTTAAAAATCCTCTAAACCTTGTTTTATGTCCCAGCTCTGCTGCTGATTTTCGCCCTCAGATAAGTTATTTTCAAACCTACCTCATAGAGTTGTTGAGGATTGTAGTATTAAGAGAACATTTTGCATAACATAGACAGTATATGATTGCTGTTAATCTTTGAGTTAAGAAACTAATCATTCTCTTGATAAAATTTAACTTGACATTTTGTCTAGGTGTTTACTGCTAAGAGACTTATGTCCCTGGCTTCTCCAGTTGCCAGAGAGTCAAAACACATTTGCCATTTGAAAAAGGAGTATGGTTGTGCTTGAAGGATACCAGGTCTTCAAAGCAGAGTGTTCCCTTCCTTTGTCAGCACTTATGATTTGCCGCCTTGGTTTAAACAAGCCACCATTTATTGGACCCCTACTGTGAGTAGGGCTTGGTGAGCAGGTTCAGAGCTGAGCAGGAGAAGGTTTCTGTCCTCAAATAAGGTGAATAGTGTTTGTCTGTACAGGAACTGCCCACTTTCACCATACAGAAAAAAGCTGGTAGAGCCAAAGCAGTAATAAGAACAGTTATGCAGTCTCCAGTTATCTTCCAAAGAGGTAAGGGATAAAGAATATAAAGTTCTCAGGCTTAATTTTTTTTTTTTTTTTGAGACAGAGTCTTACTCTGTCACCCAGGCTGGGGTGCAGTGGCACCATCTCGGCTCACTGTAACCTCTGCCTCCTGGGCTCAAGAGTTTCTCCTGTCTCTGCCTCCCCAGCAGCTAGGATTACAGGTGTCCACCACTGTGCCTGGCTAATTTTTGTATTTTTAGTAGAGATGGGGTTTCACTAGGTTGGCCAGGCTGGTCTTGAACTCCTGACCTCAGGTGGTCCGCTGCCTTGGCCTCCCAAAGTCCTGAGATTATAGATGTGAGCCACCATGCCTGACCCTTAATACTAAATTTTAAAAAATGATAAATCACTGAGAATTTAAAACATAGATTTCAGAATGAAGGGTGTTGCTGTGTGCTGCAGTGGTTCAGAGAAAAGGCTTTGGATAGCTTTATGGAATCAAGTTAACCACTTACTCTGTAACCTTAGGCAAATTTCTAACCCATTTATGTATCCTTATTTTCTCACCTGCAAAATATAGATTATAATAGTGAGGATATATGTAACAACCTGACAGGTAAACAGGGTAACCATTATTGACATCTTACTAAGAGAACAGACTTAGAGAAGTTAAATGACCTATTCAGATCTCCTTAAAACAATAACACTAGTAGCTAACAAGAGTAGAGCACTTACTCTATGCTAGGCATTGTGTTCATATCTCATGTGCATTATCTCATTTGATCCTCACATTAAATCCAACGAAATCTGTGCAGTTATCCCCACTGAAAGAAACAAACTAAATTTGGTAGGGATAATGATTTTTTAAAAAACCCACTAATTTGGCTGGGCGTGATGGCTCACACTTGTAATCCCAGCACTTTGGGAGGCAGAGGCAGGTGGATCATGAGGTCAAGAGGTTAAGACCATCCTGGCCAACAAGGTGAAAGCCCATCTCTACTAAAAATACAACATTTAGCTGGGCATGGTGGTGTATACCTGTAGTCCCAGCTACTCTGGAGGCTGAGGCAGGAGAGAATCGCTTGAACCTGGGAGGCAGAGGTTGCAGTGAGCTGAGATCAAGCCTGGTGACAGAGTAAGACTATGTCTCAAAAAAAAGAAAAAAAATCCACTAACTTATATGTATTGTGAAAAATGATGAGAAATATGAAGTAATTAACCTAGGCTTGATATTATGCCTCTTTTTCTACTGCTAACTCATTACTTTGCAGATCCTTCATTCAGTTTACCCCATCTCTTTTCACCTGTGTCTAATCTGTTTTTTAAACTTTTCTATCAACTTTTTAATATTAATGGCTATATTTTCTAGAAGATCTGTTTGGTGCTTTTTCTACTCTTTCTCCCATGTATTTTTCCTTAAAACCCAAGCTTCTAGTCATTTGGATCAGTTTGAATCCTCAAAGCATCATTTCCTGTGCCTGTGTATTAGTCTGTTTTCACACTGCTAATAAAGACATACCTGAGACTGGGTAATTTGAAAGGAAAGAGATTTAATGGACTCACAGTTCCACATGGCTGAGGAGGCCTCACAATCATGGTGAAAGGCAAAGGAGAACCAAAGGCACATCTTACATGGCAGCAGGCAAGGGAGTGTATTCAGGGGAACTCCCTTTATAAAATCATCAGATCTCATGAGAACTCACTCACTATCACAAGAACAGCAGCATGAGTGTAACTGCCCCCATGATTCAATTACCTCCCACCTGGTCTTTCCTCACAGTGCATGGAAATTATGGGAGCTACAATTCAAGATGATATTTGGGTGGGGAGACAGCCAAACCACATCAGCTTCTAAGTCCTAGGCTAGCTTTTCTTTCTCTCTTTCAAAGTCTTTCCTTTTTGTCCATTATGAAATGTTTTCTGTTTACTCAATAGCGATACCTAGCGATGTCTAATTCAACAGATAAAATGCCCCCAAAATATGATGTTGCCTCTAAAAATAGTTGAAATTACATGTACCCTTATATTGTTTTGTTTTTGAAAGCCCCAGAGATCCAGGGTTTTGTGTTCTTGAAGTCATTATACTCTAGTATGAGGCCTTGCCCATAGAAAGCTGTAGGTATTTGTTTCATTGTTCAATGGTATCTATGCCTCTGAAAGTAAGAAATGTGTATGACTCCAAGTTTCTAGCTTAAGTGCTTAGCTAGACTGTGGCCCACAAATTGACACAAGTAGAGCAAGAAAAGAAGCAGGATTTTCTTTTGGGAATGATGGTGGTAATAGGTTTAGTTTTATCATCCAGTTTCAGATTTCTCAGGCTAGACTCTGTAGACACTGTTTGGAGTTACGTTATAAAGAAACTGAGTGGCAGTGCCCACTGTCCTAGAGAAAGAGTTCTGAGGGAAGCCAGTGTACTTGGCAAACTACTTTCTGCTGTGGGGTATCTTTTTGATCTTTTCCTTACCTTTTGCTTTAGAAAGGTTTCACTGTCCAGAGGGACAGGACACCTTATCTTGAAAAGCCTTATGCGTGCTCAGTTTCACACAACTTTTCTCATATTGTATTGTTTATCTCCAATGGGATATCTCAGACAAACCCTAGAAAAATGCATTATGGTCTGAAAGGAAGGAAATTTCAAAGCCATCTCTAGGTAAAGCAAGGTAAGAGAAAGCCAGTGATGGCCTGTCAAGGTTTGTAATACCCCACAGGTGAAGATTTATCCTAAAATTTAAGACTCTTAACTGTAATTTTAGCAGACTAGGTTGTGGTTTGATTTTGTCATTCTTTCTAGATGGCAATAGTTATGTTCGCTTCAAAAAACAAGAGTGTTGATGTCTAGATACCAAATTAATTGTAGCCAAGACATGGTTGGGATTAGTTGATGTTTGTAGTCTTTGCTGATCTCTAGTCATATTGTGAATAGTTGAAGGAATAACTCCAGTGCCCCACCTCCACTCATTCCCATCAACTTTGAAGAGGAAGCCTACTACGTGGTTATGTTGCTTAACCACTCATTGGTTTCTCTTTCAGTCTCACTTTTTCTGTTTTAACGGCTGTTTTCTTTTTTATCACAGTGTTTGTTCACATAATATATTCCTGTCATCTGCTCTTGGATTTTTTTTCCTTTATAAGGTTTTTCAAATTGTGTTCCTTATTTACTGAAATAATTATTTTAACATGGAACTTTCAGTGTCATTTCAAAATACTCTGTGATGTCTTTAAGAAGCAGAAAAAGTGTCAAATCTTTCAACTAGACCACAGCTCTCACATTGGATGTTACAGTGGCAGGTGTAACGTGATGTTAGCTTTGTTTCATTTTCAGACTCTTGGGGCTAGTCAAAAGAAAAATCCCTAAGCTCTCTATACCACTACCCCCTTCCCTTTGGCACTAAATCAGGAAGAAGCTTGTGGAAAGCTGCCACCTTGGATATCCAAATTAATACATCTATTCATATTTTACTTATAGATATGAAAATGATCTTAAAGCACCCTCTAAGTATTATTCTTCCTTCAACTTAAAGAAAGGAAAGTTAGGCTGGGCGTGGTGGCTCAGGCCTGTAATCCCAACACTTTGGGAAGCCAAGGTGGGCAGATCATGAGGTGGGGAGTTTGAGACCATTCTGGCCAACATGGTGAAACTCCGTCTCTACTAAAAATATAAAAAATTAGCTGGGCATGGTAGTTCATGCTGTAGTCCCAGCTACACAGGAGGCTGAGGCAGGAGAATTGCTTAAACCCGGAGGTGGAGGTGGCAGTGAGCCAAGATCACGCCATTGCACTCCAGCCTGGCGACAGAGTGAGACTCTGTCTCAAAATATGTATATATGTATATAAAATACATTTGGCTGGGAGTGGTGGCTCACACCTGTAATCCCAGTACTTTGTGGGAGTCTGAGGTGGGTGGATCACGAGGTCAGGATTTCGAGACCAGCCTGGCTAATATGGTGAAACCCCATCTCTACTAAAAAATACAAAAATTTAGCCAGGCATGGTGGTGCACACCTGTAGTCCCAGCTACAGGAGAGTCGCTTGAAACCCGAGAGGCGGAAGTTGCAGAGCTGAGATCACGACACTGCACTCCAGCCTGGGCAACAGAGCAAGACTCCATCTCAAAAAAAAAAAAAGAAAAGAAGGATAAACTACTGGATTTTAACCTGAGCATTTCCTGGATGGGGCAGTTTAGAGGTAAAAATTAATAATTAATAGTGTGGTTTTGGACATGTTAAAGTTCAGATGTTGATTGCACATCCAAGCAAAGATTTTAAGAAGGGACAGTTAGCTTTATGAGACTGGAAGTAAAGGTTTTAGAGAGTTGTCAACATGTAGCTGATAGTTAAAGCCCTGAAACTAAATGAAGTTAGCTAGGGAGAGCATAGGTGTATTAGAAAATCCGAAGACCAGGTATGAGTGTCTGGTAAGTTCAAGGGACTGAATGTAAAAGTGCTTAGCCCATACTAAATGCCAAAATGTGTGCTGTGATTGTTTTAGGGTCTTTACTTCTTAGAGATGTCCTCAGCTTCAAGTGCATAAGGTTGGTAGAGTTACAAAAGACAAAGAGGGCCCAAACTTCAGCACTGCCATACCTCTTCTCCCCTCTTTAGGTAGCCACATGACTGCTTGTTGGGGATCTGTGTTTACTCCCCATCTTACCCATGTCTTGGGTGTTTATGAAGTCATCTTGAGGGGTAGAACATGCTGTAATACTGGCTTTGGAACATTGTGTTAGGTGAGGCAGGCTCCTCTAGGGCTTTGTGCAGAGAAACCTTATTGGTTTGTGGGTTTACTAAGCTGCCTGTGGGCATTAACTGGAATGGAAGTTTCTTTTCAACAAATACTGATATATGCAGTAAGAAGGAAGAGGGTCATAATGTGTTGTCACTACACTCACTGTGATGCCTTTGCCCAAAGGCAGATTGCAAGCCTTAAGCCTGGGTGAAGATGCCCAAAACATTGCTTCTAAGAAGGTTTCACAGACTTTCCATAAAAGACAGGGAAGGCCCAGGTCTCACAGTTCACCCAACTTTGATGTTAAGACTTCTCTACAGTTCTGTTATATCTGCGGCCTCTCCTCCTAGGATAATCTTGTCTTAGATATTAATTGCTAATATTTTTCAAATCAAAAGAAGGCTGTAATTCAGTTTCCATCTCGTATACTGACAGGACAGCAATTGTTATAACCCTGAAGTGAACCATATCCAGACCTTGTGATTTAAAATTGTTTACAATGTGACTACTTTGGCTCTAATGATAAAAGTCACAGTTAACAAATGAATGAATGAATCCATCAATCCCAATGTATACTTTGTTCTTATCCCTTAAAAGGCTCTCATGCTCCATGTCATAGTCTGCAGCATATAAAAAAACATCGAAGTGCTGGGCTTGCACCTCAAACCAAGCAGGTGTGTGTAGAGTATGAGAGAGAGGAGACTGTGGTGAGTCCCTGGACAATACCTTCAGAAATCCATAAGATTCTTCATGAGAGTCACAATACCCTTCTACAAGTAAGCATTGTTCTAGATTTTGTTTGTGTAGTGATTGCTCTATGTTCTTCAGTTTGTTTTGTTTTGTTTTTGTTTTGTTTGTTTTTTGTAGGATGTGGAGATACTGAAAAGTTGTTAGGTCAGTTTGAAATCGTGATGCAAAGCATCTTCCCCTTTGGCTTAGTACTTCCAGCATTTATCTTTCAGAATTCTCTGTGACTGTATTTTTTAAGAAAAAATGACCAAATGTAAGAACATATAATCGTACTACATGTATCAACATCCATTCTGCCCTGTCTTCAGATCTGGTGCCAGCATCTTATTGTGTGAAATGATGTTCAGCTACTGTCCATCTGGATATGCTGGGCAACAACAGCCCTATTTCCTGGCACATTTCCTTCAGCCCTTTGATGAATGAGCAACTCTAGAATTTTTGGAAAGCTTAGTTCACATTCCACGTTTTTTGTTTGTTTTTAGGGTCTAGGACCACAACTGACTATCTTTTCAATTCAATAGGACTTGTCTCCAACTGAAGAGGAAGAGCTGGAGCATCCTTTTGGGGTGGGTGGCATGGACAGTGTGTCTGAGAGCACTGGCAGCATCCTCAGCAAGCTGGACTGGAACGCCATCGAAGACATGGTGGCCAGCGTGGAGGACCAGAGCCTGTCTGCTCCCTGGGCTCTGGACCTGTAAGACATGGATATTATCCTGTTTCCATGGACAGGCCAGCACCTCAGTAATGTGGTTGTGAAAGTATGGGACAGAAGCAATGAAAGAAGTAACGTGAATTTACCACCTGCTGTCATATTACTACCTGGATTAGTCATTTCAAGAGGAAAAATAAACACTTCTCAATAACTTTGCCTTCATGGGGAAAAGGTTGTTTGATTATAGATGTATTAAATGTTTTTGTATTTGATGCATCATTAGGCAGTTTTTAAAATGATAAGTACCTTTCAAGCCAAGTTTGCATAACCTACTTTCAATAAAAACCCTCTATCTTGCCTCCTCCTTTATTACCCTCTGAGTTTGGAGAAACAACCATATAGAGATGAAGCTGATAGGAAAAAAATTTATCTTTTCATTGAGTAGAAAATCACAGTCTCACCTAAGAACTCAATTATGAACCCTATTTTAAAACACGTAGGCAAGGTTTGGCTTAGGAGTGAAAAGGAAAACCAACCACCCTTACCAACCATGAATTTCTTTTTTTTTTTATTGCATTTTAGGTTTTGGGGTACATGTGAAGAACATGCAAGATTGTTGCATAGGTACACACGTGGCAGTGTGATTTGCTGCCTTCCTCCCCATCACCTATATCTGGCATTTCTCCCCATGCTATCTCTCCCCAATTCCCCACCCGCCACTGTCCCTCCCCTATTTCCCCCCAACAGACCCCAGTGTGTGGTGCTCCCCTCCCTGTGTCCATGTGTTCTCACTGTTCAACACCCGCCTGTGAATGACAACATGCAATGTTTGATTTTCTGCTCTTGTGTCAGTTTGCTGAGAATGATGGTTTCCAGGTTCATATATGTCCCTACAAAGGACACAAACTCATCGTTTTTGTTGGCTGCATAATATTCCATGGTGTATATGTGCCACATTTTCCCTGTCCAGTCTATCATCGATGGGCATTTGGGTTGGTTCCAGGTCTTTGCCATTGTAAACTGTGCTGCAATGAACATTCGTGTGCTTGTGTCTTTACAGTTGAACGATTTATAATCCTTTGGATATATACCCAGTAATGGGATTGCTGGGTCAAATGGAATTTCTATTTCTAGGTCCTTGAGGAATCACCACACTGTCTTCCACAATGGTTGAACTAATTTACACTCCCACCAACAGTATAAAAATGTTCCTATTTCTCTACATCCTCTCCAGCATCTGTTGTCTCCAGATTTTTTAATGATCGCGATTCTAACTGGCGTGAGATGGTATCTCAATGTAGTTTTGATTTGCATTTCTCTAATGACCAGTGATGATGAGCATTTTTTCATATATTTGTTGGCCTCCTGTATGTCTTCTTCTGTAAAGTGTCTGTTCATATCCTTTGTGCACTTTTGAATGTGCTTGTTTGTTTTTGTCTTGTAAATCTGTTTTAGTTCTTTGTAAATTCTGGGTATCAGCCCTTTGTCAGATGGGTAAACTGCAAAAATTTTTTCCCATTCTGTTGGTTGCCAATTCACTCTAATGACTGTTTCTTTTGCCATGCAGAAGCTGTGGAGTTTGATTAGGTCCCATTTGTCTATTTTGGCTTTTGTTGGCAATGCTTTCAGTGTTTTGGTCATGAAGTCCTAGCCTACGCCTATGTCCTGAATGGTTTTGCCTAGATTTTCTTCTAGGGTTTTATGGTGTTAGGTCTTATGTTGAAGTCTGTAATCCATCTGGAGTTAATTTTAGTGTAAGGTGTCAGGAAGGGGTCCACTTTCTGCTTTCTGCACATGGCTAGCCAGTTTTCCCAACACCATTTATTAAACAAGGAATTCTTTCCCCATTGCTTGTTTTTTTCAGGTTTGTCAAAGATCGGATGGTTGTAGATATGTTGTGTTGCCTCCGAGGCCTCTGTTCTGTTCCGTTGGTCTATATCTCTATTTTCGTACCAGTACCATGCTGTTTTGATTACTGTAGCCTTGTAGTATAGTTTGAAGTCTGGTAGTGTGATGCCTCCTGCTTTGTTCTTTTTGCTTAAAATTGACCTGGGTATGTGGGCCCTCTTGGTTCCATATGAAGTTTAAGGTGTTTTTTTCCAGTTCTGTGAAGAAGGTCATTGGTAGCTTGATGGGGATAGCGTTGAATCTGTAAATTACATTGGGCAGTATGGCCATTTTCACTATATTGATTCTTCCTAACCATGAACATGGAATGTTTCTCCATCTGTTTGTGTCCTCTCTTATTTCGTTGAGCAGCGACTTGTAGTTCTCCTTGAAAAGGTCCTTTACGTTCCTTGTTAGTTGTATTCCTAGGTATCTTATTCTCTTTGTAGCAATTGTGAATGGCAGTTCATTCTTGATTTGGCTCTCTTTAGGTCTGTTATTGGTGTATAGGAATGCTTGTGATTTTTGCACATTGATTTTGTATCCTGAGACTTTGCTGAAGTTGCTTATCAGTTTCAGGAGATTTGGGGCTGGGACGATGGGGTCTTCTAGATATACAATCATGTCATCTGCAAATAGAGACAATTTGACTTCCTCCTTTCCTATTTGAATACGTTTATTTCTTTTTCTTGCCTGATTGCTCTGGCTAGAACTTCCAGTACTATATTGAATAGGAGTGGTGAGAGAGGGCCTCCTTGTCTAGAGCCAGATTTCAAAGGGAATGCTTCCAGTTTTGGCCCATTCAGTATTATATTGGCTGTTGGTTCGTCATGAATAGCTTTTATTATTTTGAGATACGTTCAATCAATACCTAGTTTATTGAGGGTTTTTAGCATAAAGCACTGTTGAATTTTGTCAAAGGCCTTCTCTGCATCAATTGAGATAATCATGTGGTTTTTGTCTTTGGTTCTGTTTATGTGGTGAACTATGTTTATAGACTTCCGTATGTTGAACCAGCCTTGCATCCCTGGGATGAATGCTACTTGATCATGGTGGATAAGCTTTTTGATGTGCTGTGACAATTGGCTTGCCAGTATTTTATTGAAGATTTTTGCATCTATGTTCATCATGGATATTGGCCTGAAGTTTTCTTTTCTTGGTGAGTCTCTGGCGGGTTTTGGTATCAGGATGATATTGGTCTCATAAAATGATTTGGGAAGAATTCCCTCTTTTTGGATTATTTGGAATAGTTTCAGAAGGAATGGTACCAGCTCCTCTTTGTATGTGTGGCAGAATTCGGGTGTGAACCCATCTGGACCTGGGCTATTTTGGGTGGTAGGTTCTTAATTGCTGCCTCAACTTCAGACCTTGTTATGGGTCTATTCAGGGTTTTGACTTCTTCCTGGTTTAGGCTTAGGAGGATGCAAGTGTCCAGGAATTTATCCATTTCTTCCAGGTTTACTAGTTTGTGTGCATAGAGTTGTCTGTAATAATCTCTGATGATGGTTTGAATTTCTGTGGAATCTGGTGATATCCCCTTTATCGTTTTTTATTGGGTCAATTTGGTTATTCTCTCTTTAATTTTTTATTAATATGGCTAGTGGTCTATTTTGTTGATCTCTTAAAAAACCAGCTCCTGGATTTATTGATTTTTTGAAGGGTTTTTTGTGTCCCTATCTCCTTCAGTTCTGCTCTGATCTTAGTTATTTCTTGTCCTCTGCTAGATTTTGAGTCTTTTTGATCTTGCTTCTCTAGCTCTTTCAATTTTGATGATAGGGTGTCAATTTTAGATGTCTCCTTGCTTCTCATGTGGGCATTTATTGCTATATATTTTCCTCTTGACACTGCTTTAAATGTGTCCCAGAGATTCTGGTATGTTGTGTCTTCGTTCTCATTGGTTTCGAAGAACATCTTTATTTCTGCCTTCATTTCACTGTTTATCCAGTCTACATTCAAGAGCAAGTTGTTCAGTTTCCATGAAGCTGTGCGGGTCTGAGTTAGTTTTTGAATTCTGAGTTCTAACTTGATTGCACTGTGGTCTGAGAGACTGTTTGTTATAATTTCCATTCTTTTGCATTTGCTGAGGATTGATTTACTTTGAATTATGTGGTCTGTTTTAGAGTAGGTGTGATGTGGTGCTGAGAAGAATGTATATTCTGTGGATTTGGGGTTTAGAATTCTGTAAATGTCTATTATGTTTGCTTGGTCCAGGTCTGAGTTCAAGTCCTGGATATCCTTGTTAATTTTCTGTCTTGTTGATCTGTCTAATATTGACAATGGTGTGTTAAAGTCTCCCACTATTATTGTGTGGAAGTCTAAGTCTCTGTAAGTCATTAAGAACTTGCCTTATGTATCTGGGTGCTCCTGCATTGGATGCATATATATTTAGGATCATTAGCTCTTCTTGTTGCATTGATCCTTTTACCATTATGTAATGTCTTTCTTTGTCTCTTTTGATCTTTGTTGCATTAAAGTCTATTTTGTCAGAGATGAGAATTGCAACGCCTGCTTTTTTTGTACTCTCCATTTGCTTGGTAAATCTTCCTCTATCCCTTTATTTTGAGCCTTTGTGTATCCTTGCATGTGAGATGCGTTTCCTGGATACAGCACACCGATGGGTTTTGACATTTTATTCTATTTGCCAGTCTGTGTCTTTTGATTTGGGCATTTAGTCCATTTACATTTAGGGTTAATATTGTTATGTATGAATTTGATACTGCCATTTTGATGCTAGCTGGCTGTTTTGCACGTTAGTTGATGCAGATTCTTCATTGTGTTGATGCTCTTTACCATTTGGTATGTTTTTGGAGTGGCTGGTACTGGTTGTTCCTTTCTATATGTAGAGCCTCTTTCAGGAGGTCTTGTAAAGCAGTCCTGTTGGTGATGAAATCTCTGAATACTTGCTTGTTTGCAAAGGATTTTATTTTTCCTTCACTTATGAAGCTTAGTTTGGCTGGATATGAAATTCTGGGTTGAAAGTTCTTTTCTTTAAGGATGTTGAATATTGACCCCCACTCTCTTCTGGCTTGTAGGGTTTCTGCTGAGAGATCTGCTGTGAGTCTGATGGGCTTCACTTTGTGGGTCACCCAACCTTTCTCTCTGGCTACCCTTAGCATTTTCTCCTTCATTTCAACCCTGGTGAATCTGACGTTTATGTTCCTTGGGTTTGCTCTTCTTGAGGAATATCTTTGTGGTGGTCTCTGTATTTCCTGGACTTGAATATTGGCCTGCCTTGTTAAGTTGGGGAAGTTTTCCTGGACAATATCCTGAAGAGTATTTTTCAGCTTGGATTCATTCGCTTCATCACATTCAGTTACGCCTATCAAACATAGATTAGATCTTTTCACGTAGTCCCACATTTCTTGGAGATTTTCATCATTCCTTTTTACCCTTTTTTCTCTAATCTTGCCTTCTTGTTTTATTTCATTGAGTTGATCTTTGACCTCTGATATCCTTTCTTCTGCTTGGTCCATTCAGC